GAAAAAAGCTGCAGCATTCCTGAGCATTTAATCGTTGGACAGAACAACCATTATATGTGCAGGAAAGAGACTCGCCTCTCTTTATCTCCCCAGCTCCAGAGAAGAAGTCTTGCCAATGTGAAGACTCTCCCACAGTGTACAGAGTTTTGAATCCCCAGTGGAGAAAATGTTTTCCCATGGTGTGACATAAAGCAAAAGTCATCCTGAGACTTTTTAGGTCCAGCAAGATGCACCATACTTTAGGGAAAGCTCCTCTGCATCCAAGCCCAATTTAAGTTCAGCTGCAGAACCCCTTGGAGATTCAGTAACAGAAGCCTAGCACAGACCTTCTCACTCCTACAGCATTCCCTGGCAAGGTTTACCAATCTGAGAACAAGTTCTTCAAGCTTCTGGACAAAGCATAAGCATTGTTTCACTCTGTTTTTATCCAATTTTTCCCATCATGATGTTTTATAACGGTGTAATCCTGAGTTCATTTGTATACTCGAAAAATATCCATTGAGTTCAATGGCATTTGCTCCCAGATGAGCAGGCATAAAATTGCCATCTTAAGGCTGCAGTCTACACTTACCTGGTTGCAATCCCCATTGAACTTAGTGAGATTTTCTTCTGAACAAACATGAATAAGATTACACTGAAAGTCTTTGAAAAAACTGTGTTAGCTGCTTATATCAACTGTTCTTAATTAACTGCATGGTTTTTATGTTCACCTTCATTTCTGTTTCAGCAACAGCTATAACGTTTCTGTGTTGATTTATTCCTTTTTTGTGAATTGCTTGCCGCTTTTATCAAACTAGCTTTATTTTAAAAAAATTAAGTGCTCGTAACTTAAGTGCAAGGAGCTCATTGGCTGCTGAACCCCTCTTTTATCGGAGGACACACCACTACCCAGATGCAGTCACAGTTTATTCTGTGATAATTTCCCAGAGCTAGCAACATAAATAAATTTCTCACTTTTTTCATCTTTAAAGCAGTAGAGAAGAAATTGCAAGGTAAAGAAAGTCACTAATTCCTGGATTCTGCCTATTAAAAATCTAACAAAGTTTACAGCATGGTGGAGAAACCACATAAGTTTTTTCTGACTTCCTGGATTTGTTTCCTTATTTTCATTTAAGCCCTCTAATGAGTACATTAAATTCATCTCCTCCCTTTTCCAACAATAAGAGGGAGTTTGCTTAACATGACTTCTGGCTTTGCTGCTTAGGTAATTAATGGAAGTAAATGTTATTAAGTCCTCTGTCCTGCGACAGGTTGGAGCCAGCTTCCTATTTTTATTTTTCAATGGATAGATTATTGGACAAAACCCAAGGCAGAACTAATACATTCTCTTTTTTAAAAGCAGCATCCCAGATGTCTGTAATCATGCTGATTACTTTAAGAATATTTTTTAAAAAACATACCCAAGGCAAAATATAGTTATGTAAAGAGAAAAAAATCTACCCCAGAATCTGTGGAGGGCAACACCGAAGAGCAGACTCAACCCCTCTCTGGAATCTGAAACAAGATCTAAAGCCCCACTCCAGGTCCAATGAATTTGCTAGGCTCAACTCCTTTTCCCCTTGTTCTGTCCCTCCACATAATATTTGGTTCTCTCACTGCTCATCCCTGTTCTTATATCATTTTCCATTCCTGATCAACATAAATGGATTCCCTGTGCTCTCTTGACAGCTAAAAGACAAGTAGTACAACATTTCAAGGACACACGGCTACCTTATATGAGACAGTGAGTTGAGGACTTCAATATTCTTTCAATTTTTGAAAGAGTAGTTTTTAGACATAATCTACAAATGGACAAATATGTGTATATTTGGTCCCTTTTGAAGTTCATGCATAATTTTGCCTAAGAACAGAAGTACATCTTGTCATATGTAAAATAAATGGTGGTACACACTGCATATTATTTATTGTTGTGAATATAGTAAAATCTTATGCTAGGAAACTGTAGCACTCTACTTTTCTGCTCTTTGATTTTTCTTTGTTTTTGTTCTGATTTATCAACATTCACAAATGAAAATAATGAAAAAATGTCCATCCTGATAATCCCTTGTATGCAATGCAAGTTCCAGCTTAGCAATGAGCTGAGCCTCTCCAGAGCCCAGTTCACACCTTCCTGTTGGACTTCTTCCAGTGCCCATCCCTCCCTAAGAAAGAGAGCTGAGCCCAGTCAAGATGTCCATGAGCATTCATGGCCCTCCAGTTGTGCAACTGGCAACCTTCCCCAACCGCCACTCCCAGCATCCAACCTCCCTTCCCGCTTGCTGCCACTGGAGGCAACAGCAACATGCAGAAAAAGGATGCAGTGAACAGGCATGCCAGCCACAATTCCCAGCAGCCAGCTACGGTGCTGCTTGAGCAGGGCATGAAACTCAGTTTCACGCATGCACCCCATGAACCTTCAGCATGCTTGCCAGCAACTCAGATTCTGAGCTGCTGCAAAGCAGACCAGAGTCTGGAAAGCTGACAAGCAGGGATTAGGTCTTTTCAGAGGAAACTGGATATTTTATTATTCATTTTTATTTATTTATTAAAACATTTTTATGCCGCCCCATTCACCGAAGCCTCGGGGAGGCTTACAACAAATAAGTTAAATCATCATCACACTTCATATTTTCAGCCAGGAAAAGAGGAAACTCAGAGGGGATCTGTTGGCAACATACAGGTACATGAAGGGGTGTCACATGGCGGTGGGTAGAGACCTCTTCTCCCCTGCAGAGGAAGGCAGAATGCACTCCAATGGAGCCAAGGTCAAGAAACCAAGGTTCAACTTGGATGCCAGGAAGAACTTCCTGACAATTAGGATACCGAGGGTATGGAATGGGCCTCCATGGGAGGTGGTTGAAGCCCTATCGGTGAGGGTGTTCAAGGATAGGCTAGACATGCACATGGTAGGCATGTCGTGAGCGGAGCCGGCTGGAGCCGTGGGTCAGACTAGATGGTTCAGGAGACCCCTTCTGACTTGCTCAGTTTCTATGTTTCTATGATTCTTCATATGCCCCTAGTTGAGCTAACAGGGTAGATCTCTCCTTTCCACTTTTGTCCATTCCCACTCTTCTCTGTCCTGAAAACCATCTCCTCAGATTTACTAGTTTCACTAGCACTCACCCTGCCTTCACCAGATTCTGACCTCAGCCTGCCTTTTGCCTTCTAGGCCTCAGATGTCTTGGAGCATTTCCCATGGGCCAGCCATGCTTAAATGCTACAGCATCCTCCACCTACAGTAGCAATCCAAGTATCTATATTCCAAGATAACTGATGCACAGACTTCTAGAACTGCTAAGTACACAACTACAGAGCGTGTTTGATGGGTCAGCACCTTCTTTTAATTAGCACCTTTCTAGTCACATCTCATTCCAAAAGGCAACGAGTGTCATTTTGCCTATTTGCATCTAATCTCTGATCACCGAGCAAATATAATAAATAAAGGCTCTGGTTCCTTATTCCATTTTTCTCTCTTTTAACCATCTGAGGGTGCTGTGTGCTGAGTCTACTTGCACAACTTCTATGAGCATCAGAACAAAACATTAATGTTCACTTGTTTTATTTGTCAAGTGCCTTTCAGATTTTCCCTCTTTCCCTTACTGCTAGCAAGACAGAAATGTGCACAATGGTCTACCTCACAAAGCAATTGTGGCACAGCTTTCCTTTACTCCGCCTGACAGAAAGGGACTCACACAGAGACAACACATTTGACAGTACTTTTAAAAGTCAGTCACATCCACAATGGGCAGCACAAATGCTCTTCCCTCGCTCTAAAACTGGATGCTTCATATACAGTGTTTGTTGTAAAGGCACAAAAATGAAACTGGCAAGGAAAATGTGTTCCTGTATAGCGTTTTGGAACAGTAAGGAGCTATAACTGACTGATGCAAAGATTGGAATGGGAAAACCCGTCTGTTTCCCTTTCTGTTCCATTTGCATGTTTTACAACATGAGGTTGTTCTGTCCCATTTCCACATCAGTTTGCTATTTCCTTTTTTAAGGGCTGCATGAACATATGTACAATTTTTGTGTACCATTTCCCCCAGTCTATGCATGCTTGAAAGCACTTTCCCTTAGTATAACTGCGTATACATATTTTTCCTAATGCATGCATTTGTGTACACATTCTTAATCACAGAGTTGGATCAAAACATTTGGAAAAGTACAAGAAAAGTTATTTTCAGAGAGGCAGTATAGAAATACCTTAAATAGATGCTGAAAGATAATTGTGCTCCAGTTCACATACTAGTTCAGGAAATGCAAATTCACATCAGTTTACATTAAAATGTGAATGCATTTATTTTCACCCCCACATACCCCTACAAAAGCACATCTTTCCCTTTCTAAAGCCAACCATGGGAAACCTGTGCACTTGCATCTTCCGAATGGTAATCTGTATGAGCAACCAAGTTCGGTGATACCTTCATTTGAAGTTTGCACATTTCCATGGTCAAGGTCTCTTTGGATTTACAAGCCTTCAATTTCCTTTCCTCCTGCTTCCTCCTAAGGGTGTGTTGGTAGTTTAATTTAAAAATAAGCTGCCTCCCTTTCAAGACAGGATAACCCCACTAAGGGGGTCACTTGTAGTTCCCTTAAAGAGCTTACTTACAGTGATGGCTGAAACAGGATGCTAGACAAAAGCAGAAACTTTGGAGGATGAACTGCACAGGAATTATCAATCATGATCACACTGAGAGTCGATCACATTTGCTGGCATCTCACAACTTCCAGCGTGCAAAAGACTTGCATGTCATTCAGTGATTAACTTTTCGGTGCTAGGGCTGAGAGCAATCCCACAGCCTTCCAGACATCCCCTTCAGTGCTCAACTCTAAGCAATTCTATTTGCAACTCTTTCCAAAATTGTAACTGATCTCTGTGTCATCACCTCAAGTTTTAAAATATTACACATCTTGGGGGATATTCAGTTTCTCCAGACTGTGCACAGGTTGCCAAATGTTGCTGCCATAATACCTGCATTACAAAATAATGTTTTTCCAGTACGTACTTCTGTCCTGCTCACCAAGCTTCGAGTAACAGCACAGCTTACTGCCTGTCCTGGCTGGCAGGAAAAAGTCAGTAAAGGTGCAATCCAGTGCCTCTTCCCTCATCTGCAGGCACATAAGCCTCCAAGCTCAGAGGCTTATGTGCATCCAGTGTGCAAACACGGTGGTGGTGATGCTGGTGCCCCACGCCTCATGCCTTTCACTTCCGGTAGTCCCAGATGAAGCACCATGGAGGTGGGAGGGTGGGGTCCTGAGCACAATCAGGGTCATCCACTGGTTGCAGCCGCCTCTCCTCCCAGCTCTCCCAGAACACTCACTCTTCAGCCTTCTGCAATGGTAATTTGTAACCCTGGAAAGGCAGCCAGTGTGGGTTTTTTGCACCCTGCACTGTGTGTGTGTGTGTGGGGGGGGGTGCTCTGGGAGCTCTGAATTTAGAGTCCCAGCATCAAGGTCACAGGACCTGAGACCTGGGAAGCTGAATAGTCCTGTCTGCTCCCCCAGAGTAATACTGGGAGGCCAGACAAGTGCACTCTTGCCGGCACTCGATGCTATATTTAACAGAGTTACCGCTATATGCCAAATTGTTTGCCTTCTCCCCGTAATTCTCAGGCATGCTCAACATTTACAATGAACTGGAATCTTGATTGGTTTTACCAGTCAAGTGTTTTGCTTGTGTTTGCAATCTTAGTTGTGTGTTTGTTTTATTTATGATACTAAGCATTTCTGATGCTTAGTATCATATCCACTGAAGTAAAGCAGCCCCAAGCTATCAGGAGAGATGGCATCCATTCATTCATTTAAATTATCTGTGTTGTGCCATCATTGTATAGTTTCTCTGCCTCCATTTTTACCAGCAATTCCACGTCAGAGTTTCTAGTCCACCTATGGAAAAGAGCAGCAGAGTGATGGGAGAATCTGGTGTGGTATACCTTCACATATCAGTAGTTCTGGTGTTAATATAGAATTCCCTCCATACACAGCAATTTTTGCTCCCCGAAAAAGGATAAGGGAAGAGCAAATTACCTGATTGGTGCAGATGAATGCAATAGGTTAGTTTGCTGTATAGGAAAAAGGATCTGTGAATTCAACCTTAATTTCACCAGCCAAAAGTCTCATTATGCATTTACTTTGTTAAGACTTGCCTGACTAAAAATCTAGCTAAGGATAGGTGCCAACCTCTCTCCTCTCGCCCCCACAAACACACCCTCACACACTTTCCTGGAAGCTCTTCCTTATCAAAAAATAAAATGGGACACATCAGTGTGTTTTGACTTGATTGTATGTGCTTGCTTTAAACCATTTCTGAATGAATTTGTGACAGAATCAAGCCAGTCTACATATTCTTTTTTCCCTCCACTAAACTGCAGCATTTAATTTCATCTGTCAACATGCCGAGGCCTCACAGACAAGGAAAACTGGAAGCATAATTTAGATTAGGAAGAGTGGTAAAGCACCCAGCGCTTCCCTGAGCAAGCCAGCTCCCCTTGCTGAAAAGACTTACTGGCAGCTTTGGAAAGGGCAGCCATAAGCTCAACCCTTCCTGCCAAATGGAAAGGCAGAAAGAGGGGACAATGAAATGAAGAAAGGAAAGAGCCATCAGCTTGAAGAAAAACTGGGAAACAAGCTGCCTATCTTTTCTTAAAACAAATCTATTTCCTTAATTTGGTAATTCTAAGAAAAAAATGTTTTTACATTTACGCTCCAATGTAATATATTGGTCTTCTGAGTATGCCATGCACAGAGAAATAAAATGCTCCAGTTCTCTGAAGATGTGGCTGGTAGATGTCCAGCAATAAAAGGCCAATGTAGACAGAAGGTCTTTGGGAAAGTAGGTTGCAGGTGCCAGAGATAAGACATGCAGGGCGGGGGGAAAAGACATGTAAACCAAGCTATGGCACACCATGCCAAGTATTTTCTGTGCCAAAGCAATGATTGTGGTACTTTGGTGTTCTAGCTGAAATATTACTTTAAATTTCTATTGAAATGACTCCAGAAAGATACAATGGGTGCACATTAATTGATAATCAGGCCTTCCAGGAAGGCATGCAATTCAGCAGAGAGCAAAACACATGCAGGAACTAGCATAAAAACATTTCTAATGAGGGCTATAAAAGGAATAGAAACATTGGAATATTGAAACAGAGCAAGGCAGAAGGGGGACCACTGGACCATCTAGTCTGACCTCCGGTTCCAGCCAGCTCCTCTCACAACATGCCCACCATGTGCATGTCTAACCTATCTTTGAACACCCTCACTGATGGGGCCTCAACCACCTTCCGTGGAAGCCCACTCCATACCCTCAGGTTCCTAACTGTCAGGAAGTACTTCCTGGCATCCAAATTGAACCTTGGTTCCCTGAGCTTGGCTCCACTGGAATGTGTCCTGCCCTCCTCTGAAGAAAAACAGGTCTCTACCCACCCCCATGTGGCACCCCATCACATACCTACATGTCGCCAACAGATCCCCTTGGCATCTCCTCTTCTCCAGGCTGAAAAAAAAAAACAGTTTCCTCCACCTCGCCTCATATGGCTTTCCCTGCAATCCAGCCACCATCCTTGTTGCCATACACTGCACCAATTCCAGCCTGGCTATATCCTTCCTGTAATCTGGAGCCCAGAACTGAACACAATCCTCCAGTTGTGGGTGCACCATAGCTGTACAGAACAGCAATAACAGCTTTCTGGATCTGGAAGTCACACTTCTGGCTATGCAACCAAGGGTGGTGTTCGCCTTCATTTATTTATTTATTTAAAACATTTGTATGCCACCCCCATCGCAACAAAGCCTCGGGGCAGCTTACAAACAAAAGCAAAGTTATACAATAAAAATTCATGACTGCTGCATCACACTGCTGACTCATGTTTGGTCTGCAGTCAACCAGCACCCAGAAATCCCTTTCACAAGTGCTGCTCTTGAGCCACTTGTCCCCTAACCTGTGTTTATGACACGCATTCCTATGCCCTTGCACTTATCCACATTGAACACCATCCAGTTTTCTCCCTCCCACTTCCACAGACTGTCCAGATCCTTCTGGTGCAGGAGTAGCTGCTCCTCAGTTGTGGCCGTCGCCCCCATTTTAGCATCATATGCAAATCTGACAGGCAGACTGGTCACCCTCTCTTCCAGGTCATTGATGAAAAGACTGAAGGATCAGTCCAGGGACAGCGCCCTGGAGGACCCCATTTGCCACCGACCACCATCCTGATGATTCCCCACTAATGGTTACCCTCTGCTTTCAGTCCATCAACCATGTCCTAATCCACTGGACAGTGACATCAGTCTAACCCAAAACTCCTCAATTCTCACCCAGGATATCATGTGGCACTTTGTCAAAGGCCCTGCTGAGATCCCTCAACCATGTCCCCATCCACCATGTCCCCTCTGTCCAGCCATCTCAAAACCTTATCACAGAATTCCACAAGGTCTCTCCCATTTCCTCTCCCATCTACAGAGCTCCACCATCACTGCTTTATCATATTGCTGACCCTAACCCTCCATCAGCCAGAAAGGTAGTACATCCCTGCCCCACTGCTGAGCCACTTTATTCTGCAGAACTTGGGTGACAAAGCTCAGCGCCCTTCCACCACTAGGACAAAGCAATGACAACGGGTTGCCCCCATTGTCCCCTCCTTTCCTCCCCTTAAATCCCCCCCAAAATCACCACAGGCAACAGGCATGTCTGTTTCACCTTCTGTCAAACTGTCTCCCTCCAGAGGCACACAGAGGTTGCAGCTTCCTTTCTTGACGCGGGGCTAGCATGCCCTGTGAGCTGCACAACCGTAAGAAGGGCAACAGGCACACCCCACCAAGTCATGTAGTGGCATCAGTAGAAATGCATCACTACTGATGTACCCAAACAGAGAAATCCAGCTTGCTTGAGAGTGATGGATTTCTTGCCTGTGTCTGGATCAGAAGCTAGTCAAGTTTCTTTTCACAGACTCCCATCTCTGAGTCAGACTGCAATTTACACATTTTTTTAAGTTGCTAATGACATTTGCACAAATAACCACCATTTGATTCAAACTGATTGGCACAAAATGTAATTTGCAGAAATTACAATGTGTGCAAATTGGCCGGTTCTGCACAAACACATGAGAGACATGTGGTTTTCAGGTGCTTATTTGCACAAGTGTCACTGGTGTGTAAAAATGTACAAACCATGGTCCATCTTAGAGACAGAAGTCCACGAGCTGTCTTGTTTGCACCACAAGTTGGCGCCAGAGGAGGGCTTACAAATTGGAATCTCAGCAGCTGAATCATCCTTAGCAGCACCTACTAAATTTCCCTCTGCCATGCAGCTGTTGGATACAAAGGACTCTTTGTTAGAAAACCATGGAGCACATAGGCAAACACCCACCCCCTATTGCCACTCTATCCTTTAGGTTTACCTAGAGCACAATCCTATGGAGATAAGAGTAAGCCTCCAAAACGCAGAGCCTCACACTTACCCAGTGCAGTGCAACAACAGTGCCAGAGGCAATCTTCACCTCTCTGCTCCTTGCACTCTGCATTTTCACAAGAACTTAGTTTTCAGAGGGGAAAAGAAGGAAGCTGGAACAGCTTCAGGGCACCCCACATCCTGGTCTTTTCTCTCCCCTGACCACCTTTAATTCTCTTTAGGGTGTCATGAGCAGGTCACTCCCCTCTTTCACTGCCTTTCAGCAGATAGAAAACAGCACCTTAAAAGTGTACTTCTTTTATGAAAACTTAACTGGTTACAAAACAATATAAATCAGAGCAGCACTTTCATTGAGATGTGCGAGAAGCATCTGCCCATGTAAAGAGTCAAGTCCCAAACAGCATTTCGCCTCCTTCGTTCACTTTCAGCAAAGCTTCTGGCTCCACCCCAGGGTGGCGCCTGCTGCTGGTGGGCCAGACACCCCGCAACTGGTTTGCTTACATCACCTGTTGGCTCCTGACAGGGTCAAGACACTCTCCCGTCTGCTCATTCCAGTGCTGAAAATTCTCCTTTCTTTTGCAAGGCAGGGAGAGACAATTCTCCCTCCTGTAGCCCCATCTGGCCTCGCAATCTGTCTGAGAAACTGTGCTAGGTAACATTGAAACTCCCAAGTCCTCAGTCCCCTTTGCTCCTCCTGCTCCCCTCAGAATCAGATGGAACAGTCTGAGCAG